ACATACCTGGTGAAATACAGAAATAATTACTTTCTTCACATATTTGACTATTCACACCATACTTCAATAGTCTGTTATTTTCTGTCGAAGTTTTATTTGATGTGACTTTATCCCTCTTTATTGTTCATCTTTATTGCTCATCTCCATATCCAGGAAGCACAGAACTATTTTCTTTTTCGCTTTGCATATTTTTAAAGGAGGCACTACTTACGAAATAGCTTCCACCATTGAAAGGCCCATCATTATAGAGCAAACAGCATGGTCTTCCCTGAAGTCTGGCAGACCACAGATGCAGTAGTAACAGTCGCCAAGAATCTTAATTCTCAGTTGGTGATGTTGCTGCACAACAATAAAAGCAATTTCATTTGCAAAAGTTTCTACAAAAAGAGATTGGACCTTATGAAAACAATTATTAATACAGGGACTCTGATTAAACTTGGTGTCTTAGGTCTATGCAAATTCATAGAAATTTCAGTGGGTTTTGTGATTTTTTTTTTGTATAAATATATCGATTGAGAATGCACAACCAAAAAAGTTTAATGAGTGTACCACAGTATATTCTATTCTGATTAAAAAACTTGCAACAAAAATAACACACTGACATTGATATTTTCAAATTTTAATCTTTCAATGACTGTACTCTGTTGACTGTGTGTTGGGTTTTTATTTAGAAGTTGGCAACCCTTCTATAAAAAGATCAAGGATGCCTATTTTAGGCTAATTTTACAGGATTTCTTTAGGATTTCAGTCTAGACACAAGATGGCTAAGAAGGACGTGTGATTTTGCTCAGACCAAAAATGCTTTATTTTTTGATATGCCTTCCAAAAAAACTGCTTGGTACAGTTTTTTTTGGAAGGCATAAAAACTAAATGCATTGACTGCATTTATTGGTTGTCTTAACATTTTGTCAAGACAAAATAACAACAGAAACATAAAAGAAGACACAAAGAAAAAAACCCCAACAACTTTACTTTTATCAATTTGAATAACTTTGAGCATATCTATAAACAAAGATCTCAGAACATCTTGCTGATCACTGTTCTTTAGCTGTTGCACAGGGTTGAAAGTATTGGTAGTAAGGCCTGTCAAAAAACAGTAAAAATCATGCTAAAAAAAAAAAAACCCATTAAAGCAACAGATTTTGAATTCTACTGTTTTGTGATCAAAATGTCTAAACAGTTTATATGATTCTGGTGTAACTGTATATTTCTTTACTATTGCATCTTCTAAAACCGGGTTACACTAGTGAGACACTGAGCAGTAGCGTGCACAGAAGTCATGCCCTTCAGAAAATGTTGTTTCTAATTCTGGCTGCATATTTGTTTGCTTTCAAATATGCTTGTGTGAATATCAGTTTTGTATTAGTTTGATTATTTGCTTAATTTTCAATTTCCTAATCGAGACAATAACGTCTCCATTATAGACTGAGAATCAGTGGCTATCTTTGTTGCTAACAGAATCATATGAAATTTTCAACCCAGGAAAGGAGATGCTAAGTAAAAAGAACACCTTAAAAATACTTTAGTTGCATTTATTATAAAAGCATTACTATTGATACAGATGATTTTGCAACAGGTGATTGTGTTTCTATATTTAACAGTGCAAAAACAGATTTTTTAAGATTAATATTATACTACTGAATAAAAAGATTAATTGAAAATATAGGCATCAGGGTGCTAATAACTATTTACAGCACTAACGAACGTGATTAAGGTAATTCATTCATTGCTGATACTCACTGAGGCCAGTTTATCGAAGCGGGCAAACAGTTCGTTGAGCAGCTTTACCAGCTCTTGTGCACTACAGGCTGAGGATAACTGGGTGAAGCCCACGATATCTGCAAACAGTATACTGAAACAAAAAAGGCATATACAGAGGAGAAACAACATGATCTCCAGCATCCATTTTTCACTTACAAAAATCACAACTCTTGGGTAGCATCAAAGTTGATTTTGTGATCCAGACCTGACATTTTCATGGCGGTACATGTACATGGTGTTGAACTGCTGCTGCTGGACCTCATTTTGATTGGCCTGGTTCTTCATGCCCTGCAGCATCTCATCTGCAATATGCTTTGGCAGGATGGATAGCAACAGTTCCTCCTACATGGGGGGAAGGGAAATGTGTGTGTGTGTTCGATTAACATAAAAAAGGAAAAGACTTCTGAGTGCCCAACATGTAAAGCAATTAATTAGTGGTTCTGAAAATATTCTGGTCAGGTTCGGTCTCTTTTTCTTTTTTCCATCTCTAAAGATGTTATTTGGAATTTGGTTTGCAACTCTCTATTTTTTCAACTACAAGAAAAACAGCTCTTTTAAATTTTAAATGTTTTTCAATTAGCTCCACAAATTTCAACATTCAAGAATTTTATTGAGATTTTATGTTACAGACCAACAAAACAGCACAATGTATTGTGAAGAGGAAGAAAGAAAAATAAATAACAAAATAAAATAAAAGGGTGATAAGCACTTCTATTCACTGGATTCTGAGTAGGCCATTCTAACATATAAACGTGCTTTGAGATTTCGACATAAGTAGGTGCAACAAAAACAAAACAAAATACTATATTTAAAATTGCAAAGCTGAGTTAAAATAAATATTTGATGAGATAATCAAATGGCCAGCTTAATTGGGGTTGTTGCCCAAGAGACACAAAACATATCTGCATTTTATTGCCCAACAGCTAAGATGCCATTATTTTTACAAGTCCCTGATGACTGATCCACTGATGAAAACAATGGCTGATTAGCCAGCAGCAGAGGAAAACACAGGGCAATTAAGGAGCACAGAGCGTTCTGTCATCTGATCTATTTGGGTGTAGGTTCATGGGAAAATGCATAAAGAATGTCTATGATGTAAATAATTACACTGTATATCAGTTAAGGTCACAATATTAGGATGCATGATAGGTTCCAATTAGGAGGGAAAGCAGTGGCTAAGGTTAGTTTAGGTCTCCTGAAGAGATGAGTGAAAGTCACATTGTTCTCCTGAGTCATCTTACCTGCTGGGTGCTCTGGTCCTCCAGAGTCAGTTTAACTTGCAGAGACTGACGAGCTTCCAAAAACGCTGTTCTGTACTTCCTGTCGGCCATGTAGAATGACATCACACCCACCATGGCTGCACACAGGTACAGCATCACATTGGCCAGCAGCTGAAGAAAAAGAGAAAATGTCATACTTTTCTTCCTGTACTTAGGTGCTCTCCACTCTTTGTCTGTAATGATATGATAATTTGCTGCTTTCAGCTGAATACTGATGGACTCCTCCATGTGAATCAAGCATATTGTCGATGAATGATAAATGCAGTATGTGCACCAGAGGTGCAGTTTTGATCAATGAAATATTACAAATAACAAATAAACACAGAGTCATGCAGCATCTACAGATGCAGGTATGGAAAGAAAAGTTCTAAAAGTGACTACTTTTGTCTTTCATTGTCGATTCTTGGTCATACTGCCATATTACTATTAGAGCATGTGTCAAACTTAAGGGCCGCTGGCCAAATCTGGCCCACCATAGCTATTTCTGTGGTCCTCAAAACTCTAGAGGTCTTCTAGATAATAGTTATGCTCTTAAACATTATTTTATGAATGAAATCAAATACAATTTTATTTGTCTTTTTCTAACAGTTTTGTCATGCAATTTTCAGTGACATCAAACAAGCTGAGACTTGCAAAGTTTCAGATAGAGCTCCTGTTTTGTGAAATATGTTGTTTCTAAATTGTTGTGAAGTTTTATTTCTCTCTTGTCCCAACAGTGACCTTTTATGACACCTGCTTTTTTTTACCTGTCTCACCAGCATGGCCCCCGGAAGATTATCGCCAAACCTTTGAGCCACAGTGACCCCCAGTGTCAGGGTGTGAATCCCACAGGAGAACGTTGCAAGGAGGACAAGGGGCAACAAATTCAGTGGTAAAGTCAAAAAGCTGGAGAAACTGAAGAAAGCCTGCCAACCCACAGAGTCGCTTGCATCAGAGAATTGCTCGAAGTTCAGTCCCATGTAACATAAGACATGGATGGTGACCATCAGCCACAGAACGTATGGCACCGCTCCTCTTGCCACAGGGGATGTCGGGAGTTTTTGGAACCAGCAGAGCAAGTAGAGAACTACATCCGCTGCCAGCCCCACAACGGCGACCACCACCATGGCCAGTTTGTCCTCGGTGTACACCACCGCACACATAATGATAATGAAGCTGTTGAAGAGGGCTGCAAATAACACCAAGACCAGCAGGTTCTCTTCTCTCTGCCTACGAAAGTAGTTCTGATAAAGGCTCTCCAAGGACTCGGGGGTAAAGGTAAGTCGCACTGACCGGGGCAGGAAGCGGCAGCAGCCGGACTGGAGGATAGCCACATCCCGGGTGCGGCCCGGATCACTGGGAGCCGGTCCTGAATACTCTGCAGAGCACTCTGTTGAGTGCTCTGTGTTTGTTGTATTGACACGGTCCACAGACATGCTGTTCATTTAAAGGTAATCCATTTGGTTCCTCCGACGGTATTCCCAAATGTATGGTAAAATCCTTTGAAAAGATGCAAAAGTTTCCATCAAATGTATAAAATAGAAAAAAAAATCAGTTCCTAGGTGAATATAAATGCATCATGAAAGGTTCTTACCTTTTATGACATTTAGGATAATTTAATTATTCTTGTTCTTCACAAACTAAAACTTCATAGTGAAAATATGGCCTGCAGTATCCAAATCCGGTTGAATTTGCAGTAGAAAGGAGCCATGTGCAGCTACCGTTTTGAAAGTAATGCATGTTCAAAATGGGTAAACGGCATCACAAGGTTGAATCTGAAAACAGAATCACTTCTCTGGTGCTCTTCTGTGCTCCGATAAGTCCTCTGTTTCCTCCCACCCCCAACATCTCCCACTGGTAAACAGCTAATCCTCTGTTACTGTTGTTAAGATGACACTAAAGTCTTACAGTCATGTCTTGGGAAATGTGATGTGTGCAGAAGTGAGGAAAAGAAAGGAGAGGGGGTCTCATTAAGCCATATGACAGAAAAAGTGTTTTTATTAATTATCCATCATTTTACAGAAAATAATTTATGTCCTGAAAAGGACACAAATAGCAATGTTTCCTGGTGGACAAAACCACATGGTTCTCATGACACACAAATACTAAATATCTACACAAAACAAAAAATATTATCATTTGGTATTTTTCTTTGTTGGAAAAATACCAGCAGCAGCAAAATGCTGGCGTTTAATTCCAGTTGTAGAAACGGATGTAAACTCAGCCGACATTCAGTCTCTGTGTGTGTTGGTTGTTGATGGTGATTTTCCTAGCATACCACTGAGAGCGCTTCCCAAAGCCAACACTATAGCCACCAAAACTCCTACGGTCCCCAGCGTCCCCAGAGCTGCCGTGCCTAATGCTGCGGCCCCCAGAGCGCCGGCTCCAATAGGCGCCGCTGCTCCGGTGACCGTCTCCATGCCGATTCCTTTAATTAGCCCCGCTCCTGTGAGAAGCCCTTGCTGTAGATTCACCTCAGTGTGGAATGGGCTTTTTGGCGCACCCAAAACAAATGCCCCTACTGCAGTGATTGTCACTGTCATCAGTTCAGAGGTTGTCAGCTGTGTTGATGTCAGTCCTGGAACCTTGAGGGCTACAAGTACACCCACGATAACGGAACCTAAAAGTACCGATGTTGAATTTCTAGACCCAAATGTTTGCTTTGCTGCAACACTCGCAGCGCCCAGTGACACTCCTGCAACTGCAGTTGCTCCCAAAGCTGCTCCGGAGCAGCTTCTCAGTCCTAGAGCAGAGCTCAAAAGTACAACAGCTTTCAAAGCTATTGATGTTATTACCACAACTCCCACAACAACATTTCCAGCCACCTCTGGCCCCAGTCCAACCATGGCCACAGTTCCCAGGCCAGCCCCCAACAGTCCCACAGACAGAAATCCCACCCAAAGGACAGATTGTAGCATTAAAATCACTTGTGTTTTTGTGCCTTCGTCTGCCCCACCTGAACCCAAACCAACAAAAAAACCCAAAATTGCCACAAAAACAGAGTAGAAGAAGATTCTCTCCAACAATTTGCACCTGGTTTTAGATTCTGGTTTTGGCGGTGACTTTGCTATTAGAGTTTGTCGTAGAGCAAAGAGAACAATGATGCTCAGTCCCACACAGAAGAACCCAAGTATGACACCCAATCGTCCAAACATAACACTGGTGTACAGAGTGGTGAAGATGATTAACAGAGCTGTTGTCATGTCACTGATGTTGGAATATGAGTAGACGATAAGAACCAGAGCGCCCTGAACCATGACGTAGATCCAAGGTGGTATGATACCCTCCAACCCTCCAGTGACGACTGCACCCAATGCGACTGATGCCCCGGACATGGTTCCTATCAACCATGGCAGGGTCACACCTGCTTTATTGAACAGCTTCAGCACTACGGCACTGAAGAGAAAACCCAGTCCAAGAGAAAGGAGTGCTGATGTAAACACGAAACATGCTGCCACGACCGCTACACCGGTTGAACCAGCACGTTCAGCAGCTCGACTGGCAGCGTTCAGCAGAGTGACGTCTTCAGTCAGAGACGGCTTGACTGCATATGAGGCAGCTTGTCCAAACACAAAACCAGCTGCTGTACTTCCGAGGAGGGTCTTCACCGCACGGAAGGCACCTACAGACAAAATCCAGTCATTTAATACTTTTCAAACTACAATTTAATTTCCATATTAAAATGTACATACTATTCAGAACTACTTTATGGAAAAGGTATAAAGTTATTATGCTTAAAACAACCCCCTCAATAGATCTGTTAATATGTTTTCTTGATGAATTTCAATTAATTAAGAAGAAATGCTAACTGCTTCAGTAAAAGATTTACTCACTGGATCACCAGGAGATGCAAAAACATATTTAGTCTTCATCAAGTGGTTTAAATATCATTTTTATTTGAATCAGATCTATTTATAGGCAAAAGTTCCAGATAACAACAGGACTTTTTTTCATTTGACCAGACGGATAAAACGGATATTAATTCATGGCATAAACGGTTTTGCGTCAATATCGGAAAGATAAAATGCATGATATTTTAATGTGATTGTTATCTCAATAATAATAATAATGAAAATACTCAAGTATCCAATAATGGTGTAATGTGGCAGAACTTATAAAGCTTGTGAAAAAAGTATTTTTTGGTGGAAAAAGTCTTTGACATCTATCAGTTTGGAAATGTGAGAGTCAGCAAATCATCATGAGAGACATTGTCCTCAAACGGAGACAAAAAAATTACACAGTGGTGAATCTTCCTACCACAGGCAAGTCTACCTGACGACTCATGCAGACTTGTCCCAGATCCCAGAAAAACATCACTGGTCTGGACAATCTTTTGCCCTGAATGAATGAAATCACTGAAGCTTTTATTTATGTAGGTTATTTTGTCTGAAATAAATAATATCTTTTACAACTATATTCTACAGGGCATTAATTTTTTTCAAAACTGGTAACTCTGGAATTTCATATCTCAATATGAGACTTGACTTGATATTTGATTGTAAAGATTTAAGCCTCACTTTTCAAAACAAAGCCACTCATCTGACTCTCTGGTAGAGCTGGTAAACAACTGCTGTGAAGTAAAACTGTTTTCCTGCTCTGATACAATATATTAAATTAAAACTGATAATTTATAATCAACACCCCATTAAGAACGCTTACAAAGGATTTTGCTCCAAACTGTGGTACTATGACAGTCCTACTTTAATTCTTGTATTATGTCCCATTGTCAATTTTGTTCAAATCTGGTCCTGTCACTTTAAAATGAAAGTAGAATATGACTGAATGGTTCCACGCAGAAACCTAAAACCAGGAAGTTTGTCTGCTGTAGAAAGAAAAGCTATCACTCCAGTGGACCATATCAGTACAGCTGCTGCTCTGCAACTAACACGCCACCAAACATATCTCATATTCACTGCGTCTGAGGTTGTGTGTGAAGCTCGGGGTAGTGTTATCATCTTACCCAGGCTTGTTTCTGCCATTTCCCCCTGAGAAGTGTGCGCCTCACTGACCCGACACCCTCTTCCTGTTCATGGTTAGACGTCAGACGACCTCACGTTGAGAGGAGCCAATCAGGAAAGAGATACCATCGCCTGCGTCTTTACCGTGTAACAGCCTCACCGTTGCCCACAGTAAACTATTTTCTTTATTAATATAGAAAGAACGGGCTTAGAATGGATTATTTATTATGTTCAGCATCATTACAGTAAGATAAAAAATGATTAAAAAATTTATAAATAAAGTTTGAACTACCACGTCACGCGTCAGGCAACATAATGCCAATCGGTCATTTCCATACCCTACATTTTAATTACGCTCATAGCACACACCTGTTTAAAACAATTTTATTGGCTAAATATTAGTGAATGAATAAACAAATATTCGTAAATATGTCATGTATTGATGCGCCCCCTGTTGGATAGGCAAACAAAAAAACAAAACAAGCAAGCAAAAAAACCCAAAAACAATAACAAAAACAAAACAAAGGACAATGAATTATGTTGGTCTTTTTTAAAATAATAATAATAATAAAAATAATATTAAATGATCCTGTTTTATATTATTTTATTTCTAAATGTAAATTCAATAAGGAAAGTAATTTTTTATGCCTTTTAAATTTGATCCGAAAAATTATCTTAATTAAAATAGTCTATCTTACTTAAATACCGTTTGACAAAGCTTGTTTTGTTTCTAAATGTTATAATAAACATTATTAAGCAGCATCCAGTCTCCCTCGTCCTAATTTCCGGTGTATGGTCACCAGACAGCAGAAGTCACGTGAGTTCCACTTCCGTGTTTACAGGCGCGACTCCGGATAAGTGATGTTTGTGTGCCTCGCGCTTTTCAGACACTGAACTTCTGAGCAAAGTGAAGACTGAAGCAGAAACCAATATCAGAAGAATATCGACAGAGGCCTTGGCTCAACAGTAAGTTTACAGTTTCACTTACATTTCAAAGAATTGCTTACAAAGTTGTTATGACGAGAATGTATTTTCGTCCTCATTCCCAAAAATATTACTGATTAAAATGAAAATAATACAAATAAGTGCAACTATTGCGCAGTGTTGTTGTTGTCCCCCCCCACAACATTTATACTTACAAAATCCTAAATTTTCGATGGTCATATAACAGCTAAACACATCAGAGTGAAAGCAAGTTGGTGTCACCTGAGACTCACGAGGTTTAAGTTGTCTAGAGACACCTTAAACACATCACACCTATCATCACACCTTCGGTGTGTAAATAGCTGTTTGATGTTGATGTAATCCAGCACATTGCATGTGCTGTTCTTGCAAAATTATTTAAACCTCTGAAGTACATGAAATGGTCTAATGCTTGTTTTTTATAGTCTGTGTACATTAATTGTGGTTTATGTTGTAAAACACTTTGTGGCTTTGTTTGTGAAGGGTGCTTTATAAATAAACTTAGTATGATTTATTAAAATTCCATGTAAAATACCAACAAAACTAGTTGATTGTGAATAATGCGATAAATGTGGGATTAAATGTTGATACTATTCTGAAACTAATTACATTTCTTATGACAAGGTCAGATCAAAACTAAACTTTCACGAAAGTACGTGAAAACACTGTTTGAAAGCTGAACATTACCTCTAAGCACTCCACCCTCAGTGTGAAATACAGTGGTGACAACATCACGTTGAAGGACTATTTTTTTCTTCAATTGGGATAGAGAGGTGATCAGACTTGATGAGATGGTGTATAGGATATAGTATATGACAATCGTTGAAGAAAACATGTTAGAGACTGCTAATGACCTGAGACAGAGAAGAAGGTTAACGTTTTAGCAGGACAGCGGTTTTTAATGGTTCAGATCAAAGCATATTCATGTGCTGAAGTTGCCCTGAAACCTACTGAGAATCTTTGACTTCTAATCTAAATGAGCCTGAGGTGCTTTCTAAGCATAAATGGAAAAAACCCCCAAAACTTTCCAAGAGGTGAAAAGGCAGAAGAGAAAAACCCCAAAAGTAAAGCAGCTGCAATTGCAGCAAAAAGTGCAAGCTCAGCTTTTTATTTGTGAAAAATGTTGACTACCATGCATTTTTCCCCTGTACTTTGGCCTATCTTATAAAATCCCAATGACAGTTTGCAGCTGAAGCCTAACAAAAGTACAAAAATGATTTTATGCATGGTGTAGTTTTCTGTTCTTAGTTATGGTTTTCTGTTTACTGTTTTTCTTTTATTCGTGTATTTACAGGCCTGTGTCTGCATCATCTGTATCATCAGATTTTCCTTTTTTTATGTCAGGAATGCATTTCGCAGTGCTCATTTTTGCTTCTGTGGCCGCCGTGACCACCTTCGCCCTTGACAATGGACTGATGAGAACGCCTCCAATGGGCTGGTTGGCATGGGAACGATTCCGCTGTGACATTGACTGCACAAACGACCCAAAGAACTGCATCAGGCAAGCAGGCTTTTAATAAATGAATGCACCTAAAATGACGTTACTGCACAGAAGCAGTCAAGAAATGTTCAATAAACAGAAAAGTGTGTCTTTTAATAGTAATAGTGGATGAAAAGTTTATTTGAATGCGGCATAAATTCATTAGATGTTTACAAACCGTACATCTTGTTCGGGTCAGTGCTAAACATTGTTGTCCTTCCTCCCTCCAGTGAGAATCTGTTTATAGACATGGCAGACAGACTGTATGAGGACGGCTGGAAGGAACTGGGCTACGTCTACGTGAACATAGATGACTGCTGGTCGTCCAAGGACAGAGACAAAGATGGACGGCTGCAGGCTGACCCTAACAGGTAGAGCCTGGACACATTCAGACAGGAGTGCTCTTTTGTAAAAACAACGTTACAATATCCAGGCCAACAAGGAGTGGCAGTACAACAGTTTCACAATCACAGCAAAGTGCATTTGTCTGTAGCTTTCCTGCAGGTATCTTCAAATCAGTCAGTAGAAGTGTGATTAAAAACAATGACCTTTGAGATCTGTGAGAAGCTGTGATAAATGCCTGACCTACTGCTTAACAAATGAGAACATATTGCTCTCTTATGACTGTGTAATCATGACATTTGCAACTGGCATTGTTGGTAACGTGGAAAACCTGCACTTATTCAACAGTTTCAACAAGTAATGTTTAATTTCCTGTTAAAATCAGGTTTCCAGGGGGAATCAATAAGCTGGCACGCTACATGCATGACAGAGGCCTAAAACTGGGCATCTATGGGGACATGGGCACCCACACCTGCGGGGGATACCCTGGGACGACGATAGATAAGATTGAAATAGATGCTCAGACATTTGCTGACTGGGAGGTGGACATGTTTAAATTTGATGGGTGTTACTCTAATGCTGCAGAGCAGGAGCTGGGTAAGAAAACATGAGTCATTAGTTGAATGGTATGAATTCAGAGGTGATTAATTGACTCTTATTGTTTTTCCTGGCAGGTTATCCTCTGATGTCAAAGGCTTTAAACGCAACGGGCCGCCCCATTGGCTACTCCTGCAGCTGGCCTGCTTACCAGGGTGGACTTCCACCGAAGGTGTTTAACACTGGCAAATGTTTTGAACACTGTGTTCTAGTACAATCAGGAAAAATTTTATAGCTAAATCCCGACTTAAGACATGTCTCTTTTCTTTGGCCTTTGAGACAACCTGAGATGTTGACTTTGTTGTCTTGTGTTCTGTTATTTTTACAATTACTTCTGCATACTGTTGCTATTATTAATTTACCGATTGATCATATTTAGGCCCGAGCAGCTAAGCGCTGCGAAGGCCTATTGTTTTCCTATTGTTTATTATTATTATTATTATTCTTCCACCCAAATGAATTGGCTTTTTGGGGGCTTTATCATATTCAAAAACTCACCAAACTTGGCGGAGGCCTTAAGCCTGTTTAAAATTTACGTATTTTAAAGTCGTAGCAAAAATTGCAACAGAAATGTCTCTACGGCGCCACCTGGAAATTGGAAAAACACCCTTTTTTACCCTCTCCTATTCACTTACTTTATCGTAGACACATGAAATTTGGTACACTTGTAGAACTCCCCAAGATGCTCAAAATTTATAATTAATGTCATAGTGCAAGTATTACAGGAAGTCAGCCATTTTTGATTGAAGTTCCCATTTTGACCCCATTTTTGCCGATTTTTGCCGTTTACAGCCTTTGTATTTGATCTATCTCCTCCTAGGGATTTTGATTGATTGACTTCAAACTCGGTCAGTCTGTTCATAAGGCATGTCCCATCTAAAGTTATCTAAACGGTGAGTTTTTGAGTATGCTGAAGGGGGGTTAGCAGGGGTCAAAGTTCACCTACTCGCCATAAAAAAATAAACTGCTATATCTCTTACACAGAAACTCACAGAAGCATCAAAGTTTCTGTGATTGATCATCATCGGGTCTTCTACAATACCCTATGGTCGAATGATGACATCACTTAGGCCACGCCCCCTGAGAACAGGAAGTGTAATGTTTTACTGTGAACTGTCGCTATCTGACCCCTTTGACCTCATCAACATGAAACTGTGCCCAGACACAGAGAACATGTTGGTGTATTGAGGATTCTAACCCAGACCAGCTTCGATGGAGCAGGTGGGCGTGGTGGCGTGGCGAAGTCACCTGTAACGCCATCGCCATACGTTTGGCTCTCAATTCCACATTTTCGGGCCCAGCTGCTGCAAACTCATAAGGATGGACCCTCATCCACTCCCCAAAAGGAATCCATCACAATATTTGGTGGGCGTAGCCGAATTTCTCTATAGCGCCCCCTAGAAAACTTTAAATGATCAGCCCCAAGCCATGCTTTAACCTACAATTACGAAACTTTGTACACATGTGTACCTTGTCAGGACGTACAAAAAAGTCTCTTGGAGCCATGGTCTAAACCCCACAGGAAGTCGGCCATTTTGGATTCAAGTTCGGTTTTTGACCCCATTTTTGCCGTTTACAGCCTTCGTATTTGATCTATCTCCTCCTAGGGATTTCGATTGATCGGCTTCAAACTCGGTCAGTCTGTTCATAAGGCATGTCTCATCTAAAGTTATCTAAACGGTTTGTTTTTGAGTATGCTGAAGGGGG